CGAAGAGTCTACTACTGGGGCCACCGCTGCTGCCTAAAGTATAAAGGCGGCAAATAAATTTGGGGAATGTTTTGGAGTTGAGACGAAGCCACAGAATGTCCTTCCGGCCTAATTTGGGAAGCTAAGATGATGTGCAGACTCTGAGATGTTTGTCTCCGCCAAGAAAAGCATGGCGGGACGATTGGATTGCAGGTAGTGATGAACACATCAATGTTGCTGTGAATCTCGCAGATGTTGCTGCCTCATCCCTCACATTTCATTGCTCCATTCCGTTTTAGGTACAGACCATAGAGGAGAGAGACATCGTTAAATAAATAGTAAGTTTCACTATTTTGAAAATGCTCTGTGAAATTCTTATATTTCTTATAATTTGCTTGGATTTCTGATAAATTAGCTCGATTACTAAGCGATATTAATTTGTCGTCTCCACAACTGTCCCTAAATGGGTATATTTTTGTTTATATGTCTGCCTGGGATTACAATATTTCCATCCCTTATTAGTGACAAGTAAAAAATGCACTGATGTGGGAAAGTATATTTACGTGTCAAAATATAATAAAAACACTTTTAAAATCACATTTTAATAATTATTGGTAATATGCACATAAAAATAAAATACATTAGCTGTACACTTATATCTCGTAATGAACAGTATAAGTGTAAAGAACATCAATATTCAAAAGCCAGAAATCAGTATCACGCTTTCCTCAACTTCATATTAGTCTCAACAACTCAATTCATGGTATGTACAAATCTAACTAAAAGTTATTCGTTTTTAAGGTTTTGTAAACATAAATATACCGACTATCATACATCCTAACTGTGGTATAAACATTAAAAAACATATACAGCAGAACTACACAGTCAGTTCAAATAATACTTCTAAGGCATCCAGAGTCATATCCATGTAACAATAATTCTTTTTTAGCAAAGAGATTCAGTCGGTGTCAAATGACTTGACTGACTTTAATTTAATCATTGTATACAAAAAAAAACGTGCATGAAGAATTTTATACTAGACCCTATAATTTTTAAACGAAAATTTGTATCCGAGCCCATGATACAAACAAGTTAAACAGATATTAATTTATAGCAAGATATCTTGTTGAAGGTGCCTGCCAGTGCTGAATATTACTTTATGATAATTTTTTATAAAGTGTATACCGGGTGATTCACAAGTCGTGACCAATAATGAAACATCATACACAGAGCCGCATTTTAAGGGAGGGTCTTCCATGTAAAAATTTTCTCTCGAGGGCTCCATTAAAAAGATACTGGGTGTTGAAGTTTTAATATTTTCAAAACCGTCAACTGGACGGATTGATTTGGTTTTGTTGTCAGATAAATCGCTTTTTATGAGGAGTGGAACCTTTAATTCTCATAATGAACATATTTGGTCGTTAGAAAATCTCCGTTCTGTAAGAATCCACTCGTTTCAACACAGACTTTCTAGAAATGTCTGGTGCAGCATTTTCAATGCAAACTCATACTTAGCTTTTCTAGAGAATTACATAGAAAATGTGTTAGATAATGTTCCGTTAGCAACGAGAGGACGAACGTGGTATCAACTCGACGGCCTCCCACCGCATGTTTGTCGTGACAACCGCATAGTCAAATAAATAATCATTTTGGAGAAAGATGGATTCGCAGAAACGGACCTGTACATTGGCCTGCGAGCTCTCCTGATTTGAACCCCCTGGATTTCTTTTTGTGGGTCGCTTTTAATATCTTCGGAAATACGTTTTTTTTTAAAAAAGATCTCGCACTTGTATCTGTCAGAATGGTGGTCTTTTTTAACATTTATTTAAACAAAGCTTCAATTATTTAATTTGTTTTTTTTTTATTTTTACGAAAACAATGCACTTTAGAAAAAAACAAGAGTAATTTATTTGTAGCAAATTGAAGGTAAAATTCGAAAACTTTCGCGTTTCGAAAAAAAAACAGTGGTGCACTATTTTTATTTGGAAAAATAACTAATTCCCTGTATCTCCGCCACTGAAGGCACGTTAATTTTAAGTAAATAAGTTTGAATGTGGACAATACTTAGGCAAATCCTCATAACAAATTTTAGGTCATTCCAGTAACGGTTTTGAAGATATTTAAAAAATGTTTTTATTTTTAAACTAAACATGCCGTATCTTTTTAATGAAGTCCTTGAGGAAAAAATGTTAGAAGATGCGGTCCTGTGTATGATGTTTCATTTTTGGTCACAACTTGTGAATCACCTTGTATATATAAAAACCAATCAGAATTGAAATAAAGTTAGACTTATTTTTCCTTAACATTTTTCACGTGATTCATGCATTGAAAGTATATATAAACGTTATTAGATGACCCATATTTTTTTCTTACAGAAAATAAGTTATGTCTAGTAGCCATGTGTTCCTAATCTATAATAAATAGTATTCGTCAAATAGTAAATTTATTATTCTGAATTCTGTATTTTTTACAATTCTTGCTTCCTCCAGCTGTCCCTCTATTTATCTGCCCTTCTATATTGCTCAGCTGCTCAGCTTAAAAAAGGCCTTTAGAATATACAACATAACACAAAAGTCCTGGAATGGCTCTGTATTTTCTCAGATAAGGCATTTTTGGTCATGACTTCAGTAAGTTTTAGCAAGGAATGCAACGGTGACCTTTAATTTGATCTTCACCTTGAGGTTAATTTACGGCCAACTTCATTTTTTTCAAATAGAAACCAGAAAAACAAAGTTTTACGCTCAGACACAATTAAAGTCCAAGGTCAGGATGACTACTTAAGGTCAAATGAAAATCAAATGTGTGCTGCTAGGTAAACCACAGGATTAGTGATGAATATAACTATCAAGGTCAGGCCTGTAGTAAATTTTGACGATTGATCTTGGATTTGACCTTAAGCTTCACCTTAAGGTCATTTCAAGGTCATTTTTTCCTCAAATAGAAACCTGCAGGAACAGTATCGGTTAAGAATCATTTGTAACGAGCACCGTGAAAACTTACCCAAAGATCTGACCTTGCCAGTTATTTTCGTCACTGTTCGTGTGAGATTTCTAGAATCTTTCCTAGCAGCACACATTTGGCCTTTATGTGACCTCTAGTGGACACCTTGACCTTGAATTCTAATACACATTTCATCATGATACTTCCTGCTCTCTGGATTATCAGCATCAAATGAACGTTTCTATTTGGAAAAAAAGTGTTGATCTTGAAATAAACTTGAAAGTGAGATTCAAGGTCAAATCCAGGATCACCGCTATCTGTGAAAATTTATTAAAGACCTGACTTGACCAGTTATCTTTGTCACGATTTCTGCGAGATTTCTTGAGGTTTTCTTAGCAGCACATATTAGACCTTTAACCCGTTTGTCCTCCAGTGG